AGTCAAAATATCAAATGGCCTGAACGACAACAAAAGGGAAAAATGGCTTGACACGGAACGTGTTAAAGAATTGTATATCCTTTGACTAGTCAATAGTCATCACCACCTATATATTCAAATCTGGCGATCACGAATTACAGACCGATTTCTGTATCAAATTTCTTTGCAAATTAAAGGATCCTCTTATATCGGAAAATGAATATGACAAAATTACTTGCTTAATTTGCAATCGATATTTTCACTTCTATACTCTTGTGTAATTTTTCGATAATTTTTGCCGTACTTTACGTAACGAGGCCAGTCAGAATTGAAATAAATAAATAAATTGCTGCGTTTTGAAGGGAAACGAGCGCTGCCCGGCAGTCAGTCGAGCCGTGCCTACATCGAGAAAAGCGAGTACGGCGTAAAATCGTCGGCGATGTCTGACACGAGCGAAGCACCATCCTTGGCGTCGCACGTGAGACGAGTCCGGGTGCCTAGTCAAGCGTCAGACGTGGATCAGTTCCTGGACGAGTTGTTCATGCCGGTTCTAGACGGGAACTTGGACGAGTTGTCCGACGCGAGAAGCTTGGCGGCTAGCATTAAGGGCACGAAGGACGATGGCAGGTCCCGACAGAGCGATGCCATAATTGTTGGAAATTTCAAAGAGAGACTCGAAGAGCCAGAGACGGTGGAGGATTTCATCGGAACGATGATCAAGAGGAACAACGACGTGGCAACACATCACGGTGACATTATCACGGCGAAAGAACTGTCCGAGAGGATCAAAGGCGGTGGGAACATGGACATACCGAATCAGAACGCGACTTTCAACTTTGGTGCCATCACACCGGGAATGATGTCACCGCCGATGATGATGCCGATGTTCAGTACGCCGCAACAAGTGCCGCCGGCGCAGAGCACCAGCATGAACATGAGCGCCGGCTTCATGCCGATACCGATTTACAGCATGCAAGGACTCAGCCTGCCTCAGTATCCGAGTTCACCGCCCGGTCAGAACAACGACATGATGGCCTATCAGCAAAATCTGCAACGAGCGTTCCTGCAGAGCGCTATGGCGCAGAACATACAGATTCAACAGCAACTGCTGGCGCAAAACCAAGCTCTTCAACAGCTGCTCGTGCAGAGCCCTCAGAACTCGTCACAGCAACCGGTGAGAAATTTCTTCGCAAATAATCCAAACTCACAGTCCAATACAGTCCAATACGTAAACTCTTTCTTAGATTATTTTCTGGGATTGTGTCCGGGAGTGTGCAATCTCTCTGCGATCGCGTGAGAGTCGTAATCCCCAGGTAAAAACTTCATCCCAGGAATAAGTCTAAGCGAATTGTCCCAGAAAGTAATCAAAGTGAAAACAAAGAACACGATAGATCACGATATACTCTGTACAGGCGAAAGACCCCCACTTGGATAATTGATTACACAGCGTTACCTTATCGCACCGATAATACCGACACCGGATGTCGTAACATCATGTATAAGCTGAGAATTGCATGTTAAGTGTCATCGCAGCGAACGACGAACGATGGCCGTCGTTTTCGTGCGTCACTTTCACGATCACATAACTAAGTACTAACACGACCGTTGGTGTTGCGCAACATACAGCTGCACGTACAGCCTCAATGTTTGCCCATCACTCACCAATTTAAAAAAAAAGAAATGATACGATCCCCCTTGTGGGACGATCCTGTGGGCTTCTGAGCCGCATCGCGGCATGGGTGTGTGTTTCCAGGGCACGGTGTTGTCCGCAGGCCCCTCCAGTATGAATCTTGTTGTCCCCCCAGCCCCTCAAAACGGTGCCCAAATGGGGCCCAATGATTCTATTGGACGCTACTCCAAGGTACCTACTGATTTCATCTAACGAATAAAACCGTCGATCGATTCGCCGACCGAGTGATAACTTCAACGACGTTTAAACGCTATGACGCAACAGTTGTCTACGATCGATTAATTCGATAAACTGAAAAAGATGAAGAAGAACGAACGATGTTT